GACCAGGATGGTCTCGATCTCTTGACCTCGTGATCCACCCGCCTCGGCCTCCCAAAGTGCTGGGATTACAGGCGTGAGCCACCGTGCCCGGCCTAACAATTTTTAACTGGAAAAAAAAAGATTAAGGAAAGATGAGAAATTCAGGTATTCATGTTAAAGTTTTGAAAGGAGGTAGACACTCAGAGAAGGCAATGGCTGCCTATCCTCACCTCTGGGTGCCTTCAGTCAGAGGCCCAAGGAGGAGCTGTCAGGACTCTGGCCCAGGGCTCAGCCTGTCTTCCAAGTTCAAAACCTAATTTGGGGCCGGGAGTAGTGGCTCACGCCTGTAATCACAGCACTTTGGGAGGTCGAGGTGGGCAGATCACTAGAGGTCAGGAGTTCAAGACTACCTTGGCTAACATGGTGAAACCCTGTCTCTACTGAAAATACAAAAATTAGTTGGGACTGGTGGCATGAACCTGTAATCCCAGCCATTTGGGAGGCTGAGGTAGGAGAATCGCTTGAGACCGGGAGGCAGAGGTTGCAGTGAGCCGAGATTGCGCCATTGCACTCCAGCTTGGGCTACAAGAGGGAAACTTGGTCTAAAAAAAAAAAAAACCAACTAATTTGGTCCACATTTCAGGATTTATCATTTTCTTTGGGTCTGACTCACATCAACGAACTCACAAGAGGTTGTATTTGTTAATTTATAGGAAAAAAATAAAATACTGTTTTTTGTTTGTTTTTTTGAGACTGAGCCTCTGTCACCCAGGCTGGAGTGCAATGGCAAAATCTCGGGGTTCACTGCAACCTCTGCCTCCCGGGCTCAAGCGATTCTCGTGCCTCAGCCACCTGAGTAGCTGGGATTTCAGGCGTATGCCACCATGCTCAGCTAATTTTTGTATTTTTAGTAGAGACAGGGTTTTACCACGTTGGCCAGGCTGGTCTTGAACTCCTGCCCTCAAGTGATCTGCCTGCCTTGGCCTCCCAAAGTGTTGGGATTACAGGCATGAGAAACTATGCCCAGCCTGGAAAAAAGAGAAAAGTCATTTAGACAGACTGCTCCCAACCTTTGCTCAGTGCTGTCTTGGCAGTGCAGACTCCCAGAAAGCCTTGCAGGTGTTACGGGCCAGGACCAGGTCCATTCTGCCCACACACAGTAAGTTAATCACCGTGACATGAGTTTTGCAAAAGAGAAAAGGCTTATTCACAGGGCACCAAGCAAGGAGGTGGGATAACAGCTCTCAAATCCACCTCCCTGAAAATAAGGCTTAGGGATAAGCCTTGCTTCCAAGCAATAGAGCACAGGCCCCAGCCACACTCAAGAGAAGGGGCTATCCCAGGATGTGAACAGCAGTCTGTCGGCCTCGTGGGCTTACAATTCAGAAGGGCCGTGCACTCGCTTTAAAGCTTTAGTGTTGCCATCTTGAGATTCTTAACAATTTCAAAATAAGGGTCCCCACATTTTCATGTGTAGCCAGTCCTGTCCAAGGAGTCCAAGGAGCTCATGAGGGTGGACAGGGCATTGCCTGCTCTGGGAGCGATGAGACCACTAACAGCTGCTCTCCAGTCTCCCAGCCCCTACCCCAGGGCCACACCCTCCCTGTGGTATCTCATTCTTTTTTTTTGAGACAGGGTCATGCCGTCGCCCAGGCTGGAGTGCAGTGGTGCAATCATATCTCAATGTAACCTTGAACCCCTGGACTCAAGTGATCCTTCCACCTCAGCCACCCAGTTAGGACTACAGGCATGCACCACCACACCCAGCTAATTAAAAAAATTTTTTTTGTGTGTATAAAAAGTCTCCCTGTGTTACCCAGGCTGTTCTCAATCTCCTGACCTCAAGTGATCCTCCTGCCTCGGCTTCCCCATGTGCTGGGATTACAGGTATGAGTCACTGCACCCAGCCTCCACTTTCTCTCTTGGTGAATAATTTAAGCCTTATTTTTTTTCGCTTAGCTATTCTAATCAATTTCGTTGATCTTTTCAAAGATCCAATTTTTTATTTTCTCTATTCCCTTTTTCATTTACCTCCATTCTAATCTTTATTATTTCCTTTCTTCTACTGGTGGTGGGTTTAGTTTGCTCTTATTTTTCTAGTTCCTTAAGGTATAAGGTTAGGTTATTGATTCGAGGTTGCTCTTTTTTAATTTATATGCTTACAGATATAAATTTTGCTCTTAGCACTGCTGCTGCTGCATCCTATAAATTTTGGCATGTTGTGTTTTCATTTTTATTTGTTTAAGATACTTTCTAATGTCCCTTGTGATTTCTTCTTTGACCCATTTTTTGTTTAAGAGTGGGATCTTAGGCCGGGCACGGTGGCTCAAGCCTGTAATCCCAGCATTGTGGGAGGCCGAGGCGGGTGGATCACGAGGTCAAGAGATCGAGACCATCCTGGTCAACATGGTGAAACCCCGTCTCTACTAAAAATACAAAAAATCAGCTG